CGTGAGGGTGCCACCCTCGGCAAATCTGAGCTGCCGGCTGGTCGAGCGCGTGATCCCCTCCTCGGTGATCGTGCCCTTCCACTCGCCGGTCGGCGGCCAGGCCTGCACCCCTCCCTGCGTCTCTTCCTCCGCTTCCTCCTTCTCGCTTTCCAGCTCCGCCTGCTCTTGCTGCTCGTTTCCCCCCGCCTCCTCCTCCCCCTCCTCCTCCTCCACCTCCTCCACCTCCTCCACCTCCTCCTCCACCTCCTCCCTGTTGGACACTGCCCCTCCTCCTCCTCCTCTTGCTCCTCCTCCTCCTCCTCCTCGTCCTCCTCCTCTTCTCGTCCTCCATACTTCCTTCTCTTTATCAGCAACTCCTCCCTGTCGCACCCCGAAGCGCGTCGGCAGGGCGGGCTGGGCGCCTCGCCCGAGCTCCGACCCTGAAGCTCGACAGCTGCAACAGCTTCGCGGATGGAGGGCGGGTCGCTTTCAAAATGTGGCTATCGCCCTAGCGCCGCGCGCATTCGTCTTCACAGTTGGCGGGATTTTCACGGGTGGATGGCGGTTCCGTTTCAGCATGTCGCTCTCGCCTTAGCGAGCGCCGCGCACACTCGTTTTCAAGGTTTGCAAGAGTTTCGCAGATGGTGGGCGGCTCCCTTTCAAGACGTGGACATCGCATTAGCGACGCGCACATTCGTCTGCGCAATTTGCAACGGTTTCAAACATTGAGGGCGATTGTGTTTTAAAATGTTGTTCCCGCGTTGAGTTTACAACGCAGTTTCAATGATTATGCTTTTGTTGACGTCCGAGAAACTGCAGTTTGACACCATGTAGGATCGTCCGGAGTCGCTATGCTGTTGGCGCTGTTCAGGATCGTCAGGACGCAAGAATAATGTCGGTTCGCGGCTTTGAGCGGAGATTTCTGCCTCAGAAATGTAGGGCGGATGGTTCAGCGAAAGTCTGGCGGAAACTGCGACAACAAAGTAGATTGGAAATCGACATCACAGGAGCTTAAAAAGGGCGGACATGTTTCCGCCCTTCTTGCGAAATCACCCATAGCACGATGGATACGGTGTCAGGGGCCCCCAGGACTGGCTTTTCAGCCCGGGTCGTTTGTTGATGGTCCCGAGGCTCGGCGAGGGCCCCCTGAGGCCGAAAAAGGGGCAAACACCGTCCGTCGTGTTTTCTTGTTTGCACGACGGGAGAAGGTAGGGTTTGGAGGAGGAAGACGGTGGGAGGAGGAGGGTGGAGGAGAAGAAGGACGATGAGGAAGACACGAGGAGAACAAGGATGAGGAGGAGGAGGAGGAAGAGAGGAGAACAAGGAGGAGGAGGAGGAGGAGGAGGAGGAGGGGGAGGAAGAAGCGGAGAGAGAAGGAGGAGGACGAGGAGGAGGAGGATAAGGAAAAGGAGGAAGAGAAGGAGGAGGAGGAGGAGGAGGAGGAGGGAGGAGGAGGAGAGGAGGAGGAGGAGGAGGAGGAGGAGGAGGAGAGGGAGTTGAGGAGTAGAAGAGGGGAGGAGAAGGAGGAGGAGGCGGAGGAGGGGAAGGAGGAGGGGGAGCAGGCGCAGGGAGGAGGAGGGAGGAAGATAATAATATGGAGGAGGAAGGAGGAAGAGGATAAGAGGAGGAGGAGGAGGAGAGGGAGAAGGAGAGGAGGATGGGAGGAGGAAGAAGAGGAGGAATGAGGAGAGGAGGAGGAGGAGGAGAAGGACACGAAGGAGAAAGGAGGAGGAAGAAGACGGAGTAAGGAAGAGGAAGAGGAGGAGGAGGAGGAGGGGGAGGAAGAGGAGGAGGAGGAGAAGACGGAGGAAGAAGGAGGAAGAGGAGGAGGAGAGGGGAGGAGGAGGAGGAGGAGATAAGGAGGAATAAGGAGGAAGAGGAGGAGGAAAAAGAAGGAGGAGGAATAAGGAGGAAGAGGAGGATAAGGAGGAATAAGGAGGAAGAAGGAGGAGGAGGAGGAGGAGGAAAAAGAAGGGCCGCTCCCCGCCCCGCCGGCGCGACGTCGCGGCCAGCCCCGGCGGCCGGCGCGGAGCCCCCGCGGAAGCCGCGCCGGGGCGGCTCCTCCTCGACTGAGCTGCCGCTGGAGCGCGACGAGCACGAGGCCTCGGGGATTCAGTCTCTGGCACGAGGCTTCAACACGAGGACTCGTGGGAGAGAGAGAGAGAGAGAGAGAGACACAGACAGGGACTGCGGGAGGAGGGAGGAAGGGAGGGAGAAAGGAAGGGAGGAGGAGAAGGAGGAGGAGGAGGAGGAGGAGGAGGAGGAGGAGGAGGAGGCGGAGGAGAAGGACGAGGAGGAGGAGGAGAAGGAAAAGGAGGAGAAGGAGACGGAGTAAGGAGGGGAGGAAGGGAAGAGAGGGATGAGGAGGAGGAGGAGGAGGGAGGATGGAGAGGACGAGGAGGAGGAGGAGGAGGAGGAGGAGGAGGAGGAGGGAGGAGGAAAGGGAGAAGGAGGACGGAGGAGGAGGAGACGGAGGAGGAGATAAGGATGTATGACGATGATGATGATGATGAGGAGGAGGAGGAGGAGAAGGAGGAGGAGGCGTAGGAGGAAGTAGGAGAGGAGAAAGAGGGAAGGAAGAGGAGGAGGAGGAGAAGGAGGAGGGGGTGGAAGGAGGGGGGGGGAGGAGGAGCGAAAGAAGGAGGATGGGAATGGGGGAGGAGGAGAAGGAGAAGAAGGAGGAGGAGGAGGAGATCGAGAGGAGATGGAGGAGAAGGAGGAGGAGAAGGAGGAGAAAAGGAGTAGGAGAAGGAGGAGAAGAGGAGGAAAAACACAGGAGGAGGAGGAGAAGGAGGAGGAGAAGAAGGAGGAGGAGGAGGAGGAGGAGAGGAGGAGGAAGGAGGAGGAGAAGCAGAGAAAGGAGCAGGGGGAGGAGGAGGACGAGGAGGGAAGGAGGAGGAGGAGGAGGAGGAGGAGGAGGAGGAGGTAGGGAGGGGGAGGAGGAGGAGAGGGAGGGAGGAGGGAGGAGAGGAGGAGTCGGTGGTAGGAGAAGAATAATACTTGAGGAATAAGGGAGGAAGAGGAGGAGGAGGAGGAGGGGAGGTCTCGATGCTGGAGGAGAAGACGTAGAGCGAGAGAGAGAGAGAGGGGAGAGAGAGAGAGCGAGGAAAGGAGAGAGGAAAGAGAGAGAGAGAGATAGGATGAAGAGAGAGACACTAACAACAACAAGAACAAACAGAGGAGGGAAGAGGAGAGAGGGGGGGGAGACAAAGAGGGGTAATAACGGGAGTGATGAGCAGGAGGATAAGGATACTGAGGAGGAGGAGGGATATGGAGGATGTAGAATGATTGATGAATGAAGAATGATGATGATGGTGATGATGGGAAGGATGCTGATGTTGCTGCTGCTGATGATGATGCTGTTGATGATGATGCTGATGCTGGGGATGCTACTGTTGATGATGATGGTGAGGCTGAGGTTGATGATGATGATGCTGATGCTGCTTATGCTGATGATGATGGTGACGATGAATATGCTGGTGAGTATGCTGATTATGACGATGTTGATGACGACGATGATGAGGATGATGTTCATTATGATGATGATGACGATGATGATGATGCTGATGCTGATGCTGATGATGATGCTGGTGATCAATGGTGGTGGTGGCGATGATGGTGATAATGCTGATGATGGTGCTGCTGATTATGATGGTGATGGCGGTGCTGATGCTGGTGGTGGTGATGGTGTTGATGGTGCTGATGATGGCGATGGTGATATGCAATGCTGATGCTGATGGAGATGCTGATGATGGTGCTGATGATGGTGACGATGGTGGTGGTGGCGATGATGAGGATGATGCTGATAATGAGGAGGAGGAGGAGGAGGAGGAAGAGGATGCGGAGGAGGAGGATGAGGATAAGGGGTATGAGGATGATGAGAAGGACGCCGAGGCAAAGAGGAGGGGGAAGAAGTGGAGGAGAAGTGGGAGAGGAAGGATGATGATGATGATGATGATGATGATGATGATGATGAGGAGGAGGAGGAGGAGGAGGAGGAGGATGAGGAGGAGGAGGAGGAGGAGGAGGAGGGGAGAAAGAGGAAGAGGAAGATAAGAGGAACAGGAAGGGAGGCGAAGGAGGGGGAGGAGGAGGAGGAGTAGGAGGAGGGAGGGGGAGAGTAGTAGGAGGAGAAGGAGGGAGGAGGAGAGAGGTAGGAGAGAGGAGGAGTGAAGAGGATGAGGAGGAGGAGGAGGAGGAGGAGAGGGAACCACATAATGAGGAGGGGCGAGGAGGCGAGCAGGAGGAGGAGCAGGAGGAGGAGGAGGAGGAGGAGGGAGACGGAGAAGGAGGGAGGACGAGGCAGGAGGAGAAGGAGCGGAAGGAGGGATCGGGAGGAGAGAGGGAGGAAAGGAGGAGAGGAGAGGAGGAGGAGCAGGAGGAGGGGAGGGGGAGGGACATAAGAGGAGAAGGAGGGGAGGGAGAGGATGAGAGGAAGAGGAGGAAGGATGCAGGAGGAGGAGGAAGGAGGAGGCGGAGGGATGAAGAGGAGGAGGAGGAGGAGGAGGAGGAGGAGAAGGAGAGGAGGATGGGGAGGGGAAGGGACAGAAGGAGGAGAAGGAGGAGGAGGAGGAGGAACAGCAGGGATGGATGGGAAGAGGAGGAGGAGGGAGGGAGGAGGAAGAGGAGAGGAGTAGGAAGAGGCGGGGGAGGAGAGGAGGAGGAGGAGCGGGGGAGGAGGACATGGTGAAGGAGAAGAAAGAGGAGGAGGAGGGGGACAGGAGGAGGAGGAGGAGGAGGAGGAAGTAGGACAAGGAGGAGGGGGAGGAAGAGGAGGAGGAGGAGGAGGAGGAGGAAGAGGCCTCGATGAGGGAGAAAGGCACACAAACAGAGAGAGAGAGAGAAAGAGAGAGAGAGAGAGAAAGAGAGAGAGAGAGCAAGCACGAAGGACATATAGTTATATATATACATATATATATAGAGAGAGAGAGAGAGAGAAAGTGTAGGAGGAGGAGGAAGAAAAGGAGGAGGAGGGAGGAGGAGGAGCAGCAGCAGCAGAAGAGGAAGGCGCAAGAGGAGGAAGAGGAAAAGGAGGAGGAGGAGGAGGAGGAGGAGGAGGAGAGGGAGAAGGAGAAGGAGGAGGAGGGAGGAGAGGAAGAGAAGGAGGAGGGAGAAAGAGAAGGAGAAGGAGGAGGAGGAGGAGGAGCGCTTCCCTGGATCGACAGCATCGCTGACGAGGTCTAAGGCCGTGCGCACGCGTCTTTTCCATTCTGGGCTGGGACCTTCGAGGGGGGGGAGGGGGGGGGCTCTCGGGCGGGTGGCATGTAATGGGGGGCGGCCTAAGTTGGAGGTGAAGAGCAAGGGCCCCTTTAGGGTCCGTTCCTTCACCCCCATTTGGGCCACCCCCGCGCGAGGGTCTGCCGCTGGGCCGTTGCTCTGGCGATCTGCTTCTGCCGCGTTCGTGCAGGCAGGCGGGTGGGGGGTTCTGACCGGTCGCCCAAAGCAGCCGCCAAAAGCAGCCGAGGGGTGGTCGGTCGATGGGGGGGGGAGGGGGGGGGGAGCGGGGGGGCCGCGCCAAAACAGCTCGGCAGGGGCGGTCGCGGTGTGGGTCGCGGGAGGGGTGCTGGTAAGGCTCTCTGGGCAGTGGAGGGTTGCGGAAGATGCCCTCCTCTGCCTCGTTTGTCTCCTCCTTCTCATTCTCACCCTCCGTCTCCCTCCTCTTCTGCACTGGTGGCTGAAAGGATGATGCGCACTGCTTCGCGGTCGGGGGGGCAAGACGAGCAAGGAGGTCCGACACAGGCTGTCTGGACCTTCCTCCACCCTCCCTCCCACGGGCAGCGAGCCCTCTCTCCTCCCTCCTCTTGCCTCCCTCCTTCGCCCTCCCCCCCCTTTCTGGGACTCAGGGCCGGGCCCCCCCCTCTATGGGGACGGCGGCGGTCGGAGCGGGGGTGAGAGCCCTCCGCAAGGCCGCGCGCAGACTGCTGCAGTGCCGAATCCCTGACCGACCGGCCCTTCCCTGCCCTCGAGGGGCCCCAGCTCTGGATCCGCCGTGCGCTGGGCGCTTCCGCAGGACGGGCGGGAATGTCCGCCCTGCTTGTCCAGCTCCGTTGACGCCGGCGTGCGCCCTGCTTTGCCGCCGCCGCTTCCGCCAGGCGTTTGCGAAGATATCTGCCCTGCTCTTCCGAGGCGGAGATTTCCGTCCTACTTCTTCGCATCGTTTGGCGCGCAGTTCTGACGAAGACGGCAGTGACGACGACGACGACGACGACGACAACGACGAGGACGGCGACGAGGACGACGAGGACGACGACGACGCGTCAGACAAATTAACCAAAGTATGGCGGATCCAGAGTCTGGGGAGGGGCGGCGGCGGCGGACTTGCTATTTCTCCTCCTCCCCTGAAGTTCGGGCGTTGCAATTTTGTCACTCGAAGCGTTTTCGCCCCGATTTCGCACCCTGGTGCCATCACGATCGCGATCGATCCGCGCCGAAAAACAAAGCAGAAAGATAGGGTCTAGGGCTCCAGCTGCGACTTTTCGAGATGCTGCTTTTGTCCGACATGTCGGGTCTCAGGGCTACCCCCCCCCCGCCGGCCTCTCCATCCCCTCTTCTCCTTCTCCTACTTACCCTTGGAAGCCCTGACGGGCTGGGGAGCTCCAACATTACAACTGCGCGCTACCATTCTCGTTCCGTTCACATGCATCACCGCTGCCCCCACCACTTCTCCCGTTGTTATCGCATGCTCCCAGCCACTGCGGGCAAAATCTATCAGAGTGAGGGGGCCGAACGGTCATTCACTGTCCCTGGGTGCGTGGCTGAAGTGAGATTCCGCTGTGCGGACTGTTGTTACGTTGACTTATTGTTGTTGCTGTGATTGTTGCTGTTGTTGTTGCTGTTGGTGTTGTAAGTGTTGTTGTTGCTGCTGCTGCTGTTGTTGTTGTTGTTGTTGGTGTTGTTGTTGTTGTTGTTGTTGTTGCTGTTGCTGCTGCTGTTGTTGTTGTTGTTGTTGTTGTTGTTGTGTTGTTGTTGTTGGTGTTGTTGTTGATGATATTGTCGTCGTCCCCATCGCGACGCGGCCCGCGACCCACTCGCGACCCGCCCGCGACCCAACCGCGACCAACCCGCGACCCGCCCGCGACCCGCTCGCGACCAACCCGCGACCCGCCCGCGACCCACCCGTGACCCACCAGCGTCCCACCCGTGACCTACCAACGACCCCGCGACCCACCCCGCGCTCGCCCCCTCACTGTTATCCACCACTGCGGGGCGCTATGTATCCATATCCTCTGCGTCTTGGATTTTTTCGGAAGGCGCGCCAGAAGGCCGAACCGCAGTGGAAATGAATAGAAATGTGGCCTCGAAGGGCCATATGTTCACCTATACCCACTGCGCTTCAGTCAGATTACTGGGGACATGAACCCAATTCTCTAAGACGCAGTGTGCATTTGCCGTTTCCCGAAATCCTGAAACCAAAAACGGTGTCATCTCTTGGGAGCGCACCTTTTGTTTCTGCCAGCTTCCGGTGGCCTTCCTCGAGCAGGGACCGACCGTCCCGGCATTCCTATAGGAATACCACACAATCTTCTAAGAACCCAAACATGTTCTAAAACACACACACACACACACATACACAACCGTGTTCTTATAACAGAATCCCGATGTGTCAAACCAAGACAATCCCAACCAGAAATGCTCGAATAACATGTCGGGCAGACCACAAGAGGTTCTTAGAATATTGTTTGGCGAGCCTATAGGCTGGCCAAGACGCTTCCCCACTGCCTGACTTCCTCTTTTAAACCGCTGCGCCCAGGAACCCCCAAGGAAGGACGCTTCGTGGGGGGCCAAAGCAAAACCCAGCCGAAATCGGCGCGTTCGAAAGCCTATATTCCCAACGGCGGGTCCACAGACGGGCGCGCATGCGGGCCCGGGCGGAGAGAGAGAGGCCGCCCCCCCACCTCCACGCGCCCCCGCTCTGCGGAGGCGGCACTGTGAGAGCGGCGCCCTCGTCCCCCTCTGGGGCATGGGCGGCCGCTCCCCTCAAACAGAACTCAAAAGAACTCAAGAGGACTAGACCGAGAGGCAGCACGGGAAAGGACAGAGAGCAGCGCGCAGGTCCGAGGTGGCCACCCCCCGCCTCAATCACGTACCCGTTCGACCCCTCGAACTCGAAATGCACAAAGAGGCTCGGCCCGAGGACCATCCCATCAAGGAAGTGGATGCGGAAGTCGCAAGACGCGTAGGTGGGCGCGAAGCCGGTCGGGTGGAGGCAATATGCTCAGGGGCAGAGCCCCCAAGCATCACCCCCACCGCCATCACGGCCGAGGCCGGAGATACGCGTCGCACCCAGGGCAGAGCATAGTGTGTAGCGCCAGCGACCACCAGAGAATACGAGATAAGCCACCACCCATCCATGTGTTAGTCTGTGGCGCGGCTCATCCTCTGACGCTTGAACAAACTCGTGAGAGTCCCATCTGGGCGGGCTACTTCTTCTTCGGCTTCTTGGGGGCTGCCTTTTGCTTGTGTTTTTTTTTCGGAAGGCGAGCTCCTCTATCTGCTTGGCTACCTTTGAGCGCTGTCCGTGGTCGTGCCCCAGTAGGACGTGGGCGGCCTTGAGCGCGCCGTTGGTCCTGAGGACGGTCAGCGCCGACTTCAGGTCTGGGTGATGGTTGACTGCCCAGATCCAGCGAACTTGGTCTTCGGCCCCTTCTGTCAGCTTGACCTTGAAGCATATCGTCGCACGTACGATCACATCCATGTCCTGAGCGATGGCCCCCCACTGCTTCAGCACCTGCAGTGCGTTTTGGACCAGTTCGTGGGCCTGGCCGTTCTTCGCCGCGTCCTCTACCTCCTTGACGTTGCCCGTGTAGGCTTGGGCGAGGCGGAAGATCACGCTCCTCAGGAGCGCGTCTGGCTTCTTCCCGAGAGGGTGTCCTTGGAAGTTCTCGCCTTCCCGCGCGGCATTGCCTGTCACGATGTAGTTTTGGAGGCCTTCCTCCAGCGCCATCTCGAGCTTCGTGCCGGCCTTGAGGGTGAGGGTAAAGTTGTCGTCCCTCGCGTCGGCCTGGTGGGCTGCCTCATGCTGGCGGAGGAGGCGGCACATCAAGTTCAGGAGGCGGCCGTTGGGTTTGATCTCGTCGTTGTTCGACGTGTCCGTCTGGCACATTCAATCGGTGTCGCTCTGGCGCTTCACTCCCTTGATCTCCGCTATCGGCGCGAACATGGTGAGGCAAAGGAGCTGGAGGATCTGGGGCAGGCTGGTCGGGTGCTTGGCTCACAGAGGCTTGAACCGAGGGCAACAAAGGGCGCACGACATCTTCCATTAAGTACATGCCTGACGAGGGTATCTTTTCGGCTAAATTTGTTACACCTCGGGCACACCAACGATCGTAGCTGTTCATCCGTGAGGTCCGTGGGGCTCGCATAATTACATCTTATGTGTTAGAAAACATGTGGTTGGCTAGGCCCTTGGGGCCATGGCACGTACGGGAGCATGTCGGGCGAGGTAGCAGTGCGTCAGGCGGGGAAGCAAATCCTGCAGCTACTCGCTCCTCGTCATCCGTGGCCGTTCGCCGCCGCCTTCCGCCGGCGGAGGCGGCCTCGTTTTACTTCCGCCGGCCTTCCGCCGCCTGCCGCCGAGGAAGAGGTGACACCTCCTCCTCCTCCTCCTCCTCCTCCTCCTCCTCCTCCTCCTCCTCCTCCTCCCCCTCCCCCTCCTCCTCCCCCTTCTCCTCCTCCTCCTCCCCTTGTGGAGCGCCCCGTGTGGGTGCAGATGTTGTCCCTGGCGGCTCCTTGCAAGACGCGGCCCCTTCTCACACGAGCGGCTCTCGCAGCGCCCGGCGCTGCTCCCTCCCAGCCCCCCAGTCCCTCCCCCCGTCCCCCTGCCCTTCCGCGCACGGTCCTTACGCCCTGCTCCCGTGGCATCTCCGCCCAGCGCCTGCTGCTCCTCCTCCTCTCCTCCTCCTCCTCCTCCTCCTCCTCCTCTTCCTCCTCCTCCTCCTCCTCCTGCTCCTCCTCCCTCCTCCTCCTCCTCTTCCTCCTCCTCCTCCTCCTCCTCCTCCTCCTCCTCATCATCATCATCCCCCTCATCCTCCGTCCTCCGTCCTCCGTCCTCCTGTTCCTTCTCTCGTCTATCCTCCTCCTTCTCCGTTTCCTACGCCTCGTTCCTCCTCCACTATGCCTCTGCCCCTGCGTCCCCTCCTCCTCATCCTCCTCGTCCTCCTTCTCCTCCTCCTCCTCCTCGTCCTCCTCCTCCCCCTCCTGCTCCTCACCTTCATCCCGTCACCATAGCCGTGCAACGCGAAAGAGCAGATGGTTTGCGGCTCCATGACATCGCGTGGTCTACACACTCCTCATAACGCGCAAGACGCGGCGGAAAACGATGAGCAGTGAGGCTCCCCAACCTGGAGCCATGATTCCTAATCACAGCAAAGACACAGCTGTGAGACTCTCCATGCCTGAACTAGCTCGCCTTCCCACTTCGGCTCTGTGCAAAGGGGACGCGCAACAGAAGGCGAAGTACAATGACTGCATGGTTGCGCAATGCTTTGCTTAAGGTGCGCATGCTGACCTCCGATCGTGCATGCTCCCCTGGAGGCCGCCCAGGTGGGGCCAGAAGACGAGGATCGCAACGCATCGCTAATGCATCAGGGGTTCCGAGATAGAGAAAATCGCGATCCTCTGGCCTCGTCTGCCACAACACCCCGGAAATCCGACGTCGTACTTTTGCTCGTGACACTTGCCCCAGGACCGATCTTTCATCCTGAGCCGTTTGCTCATTGCCCTCAGGCCTGACACGACGGGAAAAAGTGGGAGGGTCCAGTTTGGGCGGCGCAGGTCTCCCCAGTCTTCGCTGGCAACAAAGGGGGGGGGCGTGGAAGAGGGGTTCTCTACTTTCCTGGCGGACCTGGGTGTTTCCTAGCGGACTGTGTTACTTCCCGCCGGAGCGCCGGGAAAGAGTCCAGTCTACTTGGTTGTTGATAAGAAGATGCGCACGTCGACTTCGCAAACCTCCAAGAACACCTTAACGACGCGCAGTTGGTATTCGCCGGTAAACACTTGACTCAAATAACAGAACAAACGGCGGACCTTTTACACGTGTATATGTAGTCGTGCATGAAGCTACACGAGTAGTCGTGCATGTTTTTACACATAGATATATAGCGCTCCTAAATGGAAATGCAGCAGGTATACGAATGCTAAACTGAAGTGTTCCTGCAGCGTTCCTACATCATGTCTCTAGCACCCCAGTCGTACTCCATTCATATCCGCCCAGTGTCAAGCGTCACCATTGCAGCCCCACAGAGTTTCTACACTATCCCCCCAATAGGCCTATGAAATTTGGAATCCTCGGGGACACAGTGGAAGAAACCATGAGGGATCCCGAAGAATCGAAAATGACGTGTGGACCGAGCTTTTGTCCATACAGGTACGACTTCGCCGCTACAGTGCTAACACAACACGAAGGTGACACGCAACCCCACGCAAGAATGACCCGTACATCTACTTCTTGGACGACTAGCACGGCTACTACGACTGAACGAGTACTACGAGTTCTGCGGGCACTACAAGTACCACTTTAACGATTACGGCTGCTACTACGACTATTATTACTCCTACTAATCCTCCTCCTCCTCATCCTACTACTACTATTACTACTACTACTAATACGACTACTATTACTACTACTGCTACTACTACTACTACTCCTACTACTACTACTACTACTACTACTACTACTACTACTACTACTACTACTACTACTACTACTACTATTACTACTAGTACTACTACTACTACTACTACTACTGCTGCTACTACTACTACTACTACTACTACTACGACTACTACTACTACTAATACTACTACTACTACAAAGGCTACTACTACTACTACTACTACTACTGCTACTACTACTACTACTACTACTACTACTACTACTACGACTACGACTACGACTACGACTACGACTACGACTACGACTACCACTACTACTACTACTACTACTACTACTACTAAGGTTAAACGTCACCTTCGTGTCTACTGAGAATGACTGGTGAAAAAAAGGGTGAAGTTAAGGATTCGGGTTCGGGTTGGAGTTTAGAGATACGCAACAGGAAAACAACATGAGTAGAAATACAATAGCACAGCAAGAGGGAAACACTTGGGAAAACACTTGGGGTACACCAGGATTACACTAAAGGTACAAGAATGCAGCAGGAAAACACTCGGACTATACTACAATAGCGATACAATAAAGCTACCATGGGAGTCCACAGCGAATACAAAATTAATACAATAGGAAACGGATTACAACAGCATGCAACTTACACCAGAAGAAACCCAATCAGTGGATGGTTGGAAATTTGGTGGGTATGAGAACGATCGTGAGATCGACAATGCATTCCATAGTGCGATCGGCATTGATATCGATATCGACAAATCGATCTCACTCGATCGATCGATCGAACCTGGAACAAGGAGCCCAAAAACCCCGCGATCGGGAACGCGGAACCGGGAAACCGGGAACCCAAGAACCCGGCGGCCCACCGAAATCGGCCGCACACTTTCGCCGAATCTTTCGAGATCCACTAGGACCAATTCAGTGCAAACAATGATTGGGGAGCGCGGATACAATTGTACTACAATCTGAATAGAATAGGACTACAATAAGACTACATGGGAAGATAATGAGAAACCAATAGGAATATCATCGGAAAACAATAAGAATGCAGTCATCATACAATATGAATAACGTCGGAACGCCAACAACATACAATAGGAAACCAATCGGAAACCCACTAGGAACACAATCGGACTGCAATAGGACTACAATCAGATTCCACAGGGTTGTTCTTGAAAGTCCGTAAGAGTCTTCGAACCTCAAGACTTTTGAAAACCCACAAGGATTCCTGAAGATTCCCGAGGGCCCCTAAGGATTCCAGAGGCACCCTAAAAATCCCAGAAGACGCCCGAGGATTCCTGAGGATGCCTGAGGATTTCCGAAAATGTCGTCAGATTCCAAAAGGTTCCCGAAGGTTCCCGCGGGATCCTGAAGATTCACGAGGGCCGTCGATGATTCTTCGAAACTCCCGAAGCATCCAACGGATCCCTGCGGATTCCTGAAGATGCTCGAAGGGTCCTGAGGATGCCAAAACGATTCTGGACCCCTGGGGCCCCCTACGGATTCCTGCAAGTCGATAGGATCCCTGGCAATTCCTGAAGATCCCATCGAATTCCGACGGATGGGCCCCGAGTCACCACACGGATGCTGCCACTGGGACCCTTGGCGGAGCTTCCTGTTGGGGCTGGGAAAACCTGTGAGGGACGCGCCCAGAGTGCCAGAATCACCATGCGGACCCTGCCAAGGGGGCCTCCCGAGGAGCTCGCGACCCTGCCAGCTGGCCAGGTGGGGACATCGGTGGAGCTCGCTATGAGGCCACGAAACGTTTGCGGGGTGGTGTGCCCAAGGCACCCCCCGTGCCACCAGGCGGACCCTGCCACTGGGGCCTTCGGTGGGGCTCCCTATGGGGTCACGAATCGCGATGGGGGTGCCAAGATGGATCCGAATCACCATACGGACCCTGCGCTGGGGCCTTTGGTTTGGCCCCCTCTGTGGCCTGCCAAGATGGACCCGAGTCACCATGCGGATACTGCGCTGGGGCCTTTGGTTTGGCCCCCTCTGTGGCCTGCCAAGATGGACCCGATTCACCACGCGGATCCTTCACTGGGGCCTTTGGTTTGGCCCCCTCTGTGGCCTGCCAAGATGGACCCGATTCACCATGAGGACCCTGCAATGGAGCCTTTGGTTTGGCCCCCTCTGTGGCCACGAAACTTGTGAGAGACGTGCCAACATGGGCCCGAGCTCGTTAGGGGGCCACGGAACGCGCGAGGGGTGTGCCAACATGCGCCCGAGTCACCATTCGGAAGCTCCCTCGGTAAAGCTCCCGACCCTGACACTTGGGCCTTCGGAAGAGCTCTCCCCATGAGGCCACGAAACGTGTGAGGAGTTCCGGGCCAACGTAACCCTCAAATCACCAGTGCGGACCCTGCCGCTGCCGGCCTTCCGGAGAACCCGGCCGCTGGGGCCTTCGGTGGAACTCCGTGTGGGGCCACGGCACACGTGAGGGGTGTGCTCTGGTCACAGATCAGGAGACGAACAAAAGAAAGATGAGGTGGAAGAAAGGCAATCCTTCTCGATCCTCCTCGAGCCTCCTTCTCGATCCTTCTCGTCCTCCTCGATCCTTCTCCTCCTCGATCCTTCTCCTCCTCGATCCTTCTCCTCCTCCTCGATCCTTCTCCTCCTCGATCCTTCTCGTCCTCCTCCTCG